GTAGTAACAAAAGACGGAAGACTACCAAAAACTTTTTTTGAAATGACTGACAGTATGGATTTGGTTGATATCTGGAGAACAAAACACCCTCTAGAAAGAGAGGGAACCTTCTTTTCTGAAGCCAAAATGACATGGACTAGGATTGACCAAATTTGGGTTACTAGCGGAATGGTACCAAATATAAAGAAAGTGGAAATCTGCCCAAAAACCTTCTCCGACCATAATGCTGTAAAGATGGTGATGAGGCAAACGTCAACTGGTTCCTTTAGATGGAGAATGAATGACACCTTATTTGGAGATGAGGAGGTTCGCAAAAAGGCCCAGAAAACTCTGAAAGATTACTTTGAAATTAATCTGAAGACTAAAGTAGAAAAAAGAATAATATGGGACACAAGTAAAGCCGTGATGAGAGGATTTTTGATACAACAAAATGCAATAAAAAAGAGAAGCCAAAATGAAAAGAAAGAAAAGATTTTGGAAAAGATAAAAGAAGGGGAAAGGAAACTAAGAATGAAACCAAAATCGCATGAAATTCTAAGAGAAATTAAACTATATCAAACGCAATATATGGAATTGATGAACCAAGAAATAGAATGGAAAATCAAACAAATGAGACAAAAGACTTTTGAATCTGCAGATAAATGTGGTAAACTGTTGGCTTGGCAAATAAAGAAGAGACAAAAATTGAACACGGTAACAAACTTAGAAGTGGATGGAAAGAGTATTGTTAACCCAATTGAGATCAGGAATGGCTTTCAGAGATATTTCAGACAACTTTACACACAAGGGCCTCAGAAAGATAAGGACATAGAACAATTTCTTGAGAAAAATGGACTGAAAAAGATTTCAGAGGAAAGTAAAAGAATTTTGAACCAGGAAATAACAGAACAAGAAATAGAAGGGGCCATTCAAAGTATGGTGTTGGGCAAATCTCCAGGACCGGATGGATTGACTTCCAGATACTACAAAGCTTTGAAAGAAGGGATATTACAACCTTTGAAGGAAGTCTGTAATGAAATTATGAAGGGGAAAAGGGCACCAGATACGTGGAGAGAGCTTATATCACACTTATACCAAAGACAGAGACTGAAAAGACCCAACTTAAGAACTACCGACCCATCTCGTTACTAAATGTAGACTATAAAATCTTTGCTGATATTTTAGCAAAGAGACTGAAAAGAGTTTTGATGGAGGAGATTCATGGGGACCAAGCGGGCTTTCTCCCGAGAAGGCATTTGTCAGGCAATGTAAGGAATATAATTGACATTTTGGAAAAGTTGGAAGTGAATATAAACACTAAAGCAGTTCTGGTATTTGTGGACGCTGAGAAAGCCTTTGACAATATTTCTTGGAGTTTTATGATGAAGAACCTCCGGGGGATGGGGGTAGGCCAAGGGTTTGAAAATGGTATAGGTGCAATATATTCTGAACAGAAAGCAAAATTAATTGTAAATAAGGTGGTTACAGGAGAGTTTCAGATAGAAAAAGGAACACGTCAGGGGTGCCCAATTTCTCCATTACTTTTTATTTCAGTCCTGGAGGTTTTGCTAAATATGATTAGAAGGGATCAGTTGGTCAAAGGGATTCAGGTCGGAGCGAAACAATATAAACAGAGCGTTTGCAGATGATCTGGTACTTACATTACAAGAACCTGAAGCTAGTACGAAAAGGGTTTTGGAATTAATACAAGAGTTTGGTCATGTGGCAGGTTTTAAACTGAACAAATTGAAAACAAAGGTATTGGGGAAAAATTTAACATCTTTTGAAAAAGAAAGGTTTCAGAATGAGACAGGGTTAACTGTGGTCAAGAAAGTGAAGTATTTGGGAATAAATATGACAGCTAAAAATGTGAATTTATTTAAAGACAATTACGAGAAAATCTGGTCAGAAGTGAAAAAGGATTTGGAAATTTGGTCAAATTTGAAGCTTTCCTTGTTGGGTCGAATTGCGGTTATTAAGATGAATGTATTGCCAAGAATGTTGTTTTTGTTTCAAACATTGCAAATTGTGGACAAGATGGACTGTTTCAAGAAGTGGCAGAAAGATATATCTAAATTTGTCTGGCAGGGCAAAAAGCCCAGAATAAAATTTAAGATTTTAACTGATGCAAAGGAAAGGGGGGGATTTGCCCTGCCAGACTTTAAACTTTACTATGAAGCCGCAGCATTCTGCTGGCTGAAGGAATGGCTACTACTTGAGAATACAGACATTTTGGACTTAGAAGGTTTTAATAATACTTTTGGGTGGCATGCATATTTGTGGTATGACAAGGTTAAAGCTCATAAAGGTTTTAAAAATCATATTGTCAGGAAAGCACTTTTTAATGTCTGGACTAGATATAAAGACTTGTTGGAAAGTAAAACTACAAGGTGGTTGTCGCCAATGGAAGCTAAAGCTTAATATGGAGTTTAAATGGCCAAAATATTGGGAAATCTTAGAATATGAAGGGGACAGACCGAAATTGCAGAATTTTGAGAAATTAAAAGGGAAAGTGAGAGATTGGTTACACTATTATCAAATAATGGAGGCTTTTAAGATGGACAGGAAAATTGGCTTCCAGGTGGAAAAATCAAAATTGGAGAGTGAGCTGTTAGAATCCAGTACTAAAAATTTGTCAAAAATGTATAACTTGCTGCTGAAATGGAACACACAGGATAAAACGGTTAAATCAGCAATGATTAAGTGGGCTCAGGATATTGGTCACAACATTATGTTTGCTGACTGGGAAAAGTTGTGGACCACCGGGATGAAATTTACGACATGTAATGCCTTAAGAGAAAATGTTATGAAAATGATCTACAGGTGGTACATGACCCCAGTCAAGCTTGCAAAAATCTATCACTTGCCGGATAATAAGTGTTGGAAATGTAAAGAAAATGAAGGTACATTCTTTCACCTTTGGTGGACATGCCCAAAGATTAAGGCTTTCTGGGAAATGATATATAATGAATTGAAAAAGGTATTTAAATATACCTTCCCGAAGAAACCAGAGGCCTTTCTCTTGGGTATTGTCGACCAGGGGGTGTTAAATAAGGATAAAATTTTCTTTATGTATGCTACAACAGCAGCAAGAATACTCGTCGCAAAGTACTGGAAGACACAAGATCTACCCACCTTGGAAGAATGGCAGATGAAGGTGATCGACTACATGGGTTTGGCAGAAATGACGAGCAGAATCCGAAACCAGGGAAGAGAAACAGCGGAAGAAGATTGGAAAAAATTTAAGGACTATTTAAAGAAATATTGTAAAATTAATGAATGTTAAAACGATGTTGGATTAGAAAATAAGGGGTTACTAGCGGTAACGGATAAGTTAAAGAGAATAAGTAAGATTAAATTTGAGATAAAACAAGGGAAGGATTTACTGAATAATTGATTAGAAATTGGAATACAGAAAGGGGAAGTATGAGGAAGTCGGGGAAGTAATTATAAGAAAATAAGATTTTGAAATTGTACTTGTTTTTTGTTTGTTGTTTATTGTATTGTTTTGTTTTGTTTTTGGTGTTATACAAATTATGGAAACTTTAATAAAAAAAATAAAAGTTCTTTTTTGCATCAGATTTTCCTGGTGCAAAAATAGCTTTTAAACTCTCTGTCTTGCTTCTCAAGCAAGGTGCTCGCCTCCTGCCAGCTCCTTATTCAACTTGCAAGATTTAAACCAGCCAGACTTCAACTGCATATGGTTGAAATCAGGCAAGTTAAATGCATGTATGACGTGGTCGTACTGTAGGTCTATTGTTATGAATGGGGCCCAGTCCCACCTATCTGGATAGCTCAGTTGGTTAGACCATGGTGCTGATAACACCAAGGTTGCAGGTTCAATCCCTGTATGGACCAGCTGCGTATTCCTGCATTGCAGGGGGTTGGACTAGATGATCCTCAAGGTCGCTTCCAACTCTACAGTTCTATGATTCTATGATTCTATCTTTACCTGATGTGTGACCCTTGTCTTTATATGGATATATTGTTGTCATACGTTTGTTTTGGAGTATTAGATTAATAATATTTATTATTCCTGTTTGAGAAACATTTGTCATATGATAATTCTTAAAACTATTCCAATGGAAGACAGAATTTGGATTTCTTCTAGTACGTACAATGCACACATGCTGTGCTGGCGAAATGAATGCAAATGCTTTACGTCAACAGCCATGCTTGCATGGATAAGGCTCTATGGCAGGGCTCAGCAAACTTTTCTACCAGTGGGCCGGCTCACTGTCCCTTAAATCTTCTGGCAGGCTGGACCACACACACACACACACACACACACACACCAGCAGAGGGGGCTTCTCTCTCTCCCCCAGCCCCTCCCTCCCCGATTTCCTACCTCCTCTGGCGGTGGTTGGGAGCCGGCAGCGGTGGCGGCAGCTCTCACTTCTGGAAGAGCTTTCCCGAGCGCCAGGCACAGGGCCAGCAGGCATGCCAAACTCTAGCCGAAGCCCTGCGATGCGCCCATGGGCCTCTCTGTCCATGGCTGCCTCACTGGCCAATCCGAAGCCTCACCGCCCATGAGCTGAGGAAACCTGGCACGGCTTTGAATTGGCCAGCGTTGCTGCCTGCCCAGAGGCGTCTGTGGCTTAGAATTGGCTGCGGGAGCTTCCTGAAGCCAATCCATAGCCACCCACACGCCCATCATGGAAGTCAGTCCCCGCGTGGTGAGATATCAGTTTAGCACGGGGACTGACCGAGTGGGCAGCAGTCTTTGGGCTGGATTAAAGAGCCCCTTGGGCCTTATCCGACCCACAGGCCTTAGTTTGCCAACCCCTGCTCTTTGAGTGCGTTATAAACATGCAACACCAGGTGGTGCTGGAGAGAAAAAACAAACAAAATTCTTTGTGATTTTCCATAGTGTTTGTTTTCTTTTGTTATAACGATTTAAGTTCTGACTTATTTATAGTGGGTTTCCCCCCGTGTGTAGATCCATCCCATGATGGGAAGCTAATTATATTCATCTATGTTGGAGACCAAGTAATGTTATGCTTTTTCATAAACATCCCTAGGGTAAAAGCACCATAGCTGTGATCGCATTGGGATCTCTCCGATGTGAAGTGACAACTCTTGTCTTAACGCTGAAGAATTCCTGCTCCTATCTTAAATCAATGCACTATGTTCTATCTGCTAAAACCTCTCCTTCGGACTGGCTAGTTGAGGATGTCAGCGCTGAACCAAATGGCTCAGCGATTGCCAGACTTTTAAAGCAGCTACCGGTAAGGATCCTAAATCCTACATTTTAGTTTAGAATTCTTTCGTACCCTTTCTTAAATGTTCTGAACAGGGGAAGGGCACAGATGTACCCATTGTTCTATGAAGCCCCGGGATACATTTTTCCAAAGCCCCACCCAGGCACAAGACTCCTGAGTTGGATGGATTTAAGTGTGGCCCATGAAACAGAGAGCAATGCTGAGGACATCACTACACTCTCTGGCATCTGTGTCAGTGAAGCAGACAGGTAAAAGCTAACTTTTCTTCTGATAGAAGGCAGGGTCAACATTTCCAACTGTCTTTTTTAAAAAAATCATTTTTTTAAATGTTTCATTAATAACAATCCTATGGAGGCCACATTAATTCGATGGCAAATCATGCCTTGATCCTGCACCAATTCCGATCTTAATCATCTCCAGATCAAAACCTTGGCACTCAGTGGCTGATTCATTTCGCAGGTTACCATTCTCTTTCTTCCAAAACACGTCTGTTTCTTAAGTCCGAAATTCAGATACATCTTAAAAGAAACAGAGATACCTCCGCTCATGGCGACTGCATCAGGGAGTTTCCAATACGTGCAGTGCTATGCCCTCTGCGTCCCTTCATTACGTCTGGGCTGCAGAGCTCTTCTCAGGATATTTGAATCAGAAGCCCTTTTATTTCCTTTCCCCCCTTTCTTTTCTTTTCCCACTCTTTTATTATTTTCATCTTCATGTTTTTCCCTGCCTTCCTTTGGTCCTGCTTTTGGTGGTGTTGTTTTTATGTCCTCTGCTCTGGGTCAATGAGGGGGTTGAATGCACATGAAGGTGAGGGCTGGCTGGTGAAGGACCCTGTGTGAGAGGCAGGGAAGGGAAGGTCTCCCAGGGTGGGAGGCTGGAAGAAGGGAAGCTCCCAGGTGAGATCTGGGAGGAGCCACCCCCTTATGTGTGAGACACGGCTTGAGACCTACCTTTGAGAGAGGATTGCATTTCTCTCTCTTTCTCTTTCTGTTTTCATTTAGATTAGTTTGCTTTTTAAATTTGTTCTTTTATCTGTATTAATAAAGCCTTAATAAAAGTTTATTTTTTTTAAAAAAAAGAAAGCAATCTGTGCTGCTGGTAATAATTGTATGAATACAGGGTTGGGGAGATGACACAAAGGGGAAACCAGTCTTATTTTTCATCATATGATTTCCGTCTTTTTTCATTTACAAAGATTATCACACAAATAAATTTATAGGTAAAGGTAAAGGTACCCCTGCCCGTACGGGCTAGTCTTGACAGACTCTAGGGTTGTGCGCCCATCTCACTTAAGAGGCCGGGGGCCAGCGCTGTCCGGAGACACTTCCGGGTCACGTGGCCAGCGTGACATCGCTGTTCTGGCGAGCCAGAGCAAGCACACGGAAACGCCGTTTACCTTCCCGCTAGTAAGCGGTCCCTATTTATCTACTTGCACCCGGGGGTGCTTTCGAACTGCTAGGTTGGCAGGCGCTGGGACCGAGCAGCGGGAGCGCACCCCGCCGCGGGGATTCGAACCGCCGACCTTTCGATCGGCAAGCCCTAGGCGCTGAGGCTTTAACCCACAGCGCCACCCGGGTCCCAAATAAATTTATACAACCAATTAAAAAACATAAAATCATTGACCCTTTCTGTGCTTATGTTTTATCTTTTATCACTGCATATCCAATTCATATCTATTTACTATTTATCCTTTGTATTTTATTTAAATGATTTTCACTGCATGTTTTTATGTCAGTCCTGCTAACGATTTAAGTTGTTTGCAAAAATTCTTCAAATAATCAATAAATTTTCCCCATTAAAATGTGTTGTTTTTTGTACAGGTGAACTACAGGCCACCATCTGTTTTGGGAATTGCTGTTCCACTCACAGAAAACTTCTATAATGCTGACCCCAGCAAACCTAAACTGAGGGATTATTTTACAAATTCAAAAGTAAGTCTTCATAGCTACTCCTGTAAGAGCTTTGAGAATGCACATTTTTCAAAATTGCTATCCATTTTGCACTCCATGCTGTTGCATGTTCTTTACATACATATACACGCATTAAGAAAAGAGATTTCTAATTAAGAGGAGAATATTGAAATTCAACTTCCAGATAAGCATTTCTATAGAGTTTGCCCCAGAACTTAGGCATCCTGCTTGCACATACTATAGACTCAACATCTGTCTGCTTCCCACTATAAATAGCTGGTTTTTGCATATTATTCTAAGAAAAATAACCTGAAAACTTGGACTCGAATCCTTATGTTTTAACTTTATGGCTACCTCATATCACTTGCCAAATCTTTGCAGTAATAGGATAGATAGGATCAGAACATATGTTGACACAATTGCCCAACTACTTTCCACACACTCAAGGTAAATACACTTTAGGAGCAATGGGAACAATTTGAAGCACCCAGAGCAGTCAATATGAGCATTTCCCTTTTTTGCCCTAGGCGAACTCTACTGTCTCACCCCGTTTTACAATCCTCCATGTTTTCCTGTTCTATCAACAAGAGGCAGTAGAGGATTGCATGCATAGCTCCTTTTGCACTATTCCATATATTCAAGATATTAATATTTTACATCTCATTAAAGACTCTCAAAGTCAACAGTATCAAGGCTGCTTAAGAATATGGAGAGTGTAGAGAAGAAAAAGGGAAAGGCTGAAAAGCAGGCAGAGGACTTCATCTGCAAAATCATTTGCTGTCACCCAAGAGCCCCAATGTCCATTCAGCTCATTTGTCTCTTGCTCAAGAGAATGCTTCTCTTCAACCCAACTGCATATCATGCTTCCTGTTCACTAAGGAACAATAATTATTGCATAGTTCTCTTTGCCCTGACTCTTCCTTTCTTTCTGATAACCCTTTTCCACCAAATTTGAACACGCAGGGCTCTCCAGTCCACTGATAGTTGAAAAACTATAGTCTGATTCAGAGGTCAAATGATTTCAATTGCATATGTTGGTCTACTTTGTAAGCACAGTCGAGAATTGCCTTGATTATACCTTCTTTGGGACACGGGTGACACTGTGGTCTAAACCACAAAGCCCAGGGCTTGCCGGTCAGAAGGTCGGCGGTTCAAATCCCCACAACAGGGTGAGCTCCCATTGTTCGGTCCCAGCTCCTGCCCACCTAGCAGTTCGAAAGCACATCAAGTGCAAGCAGCGGGAAGGTAAACAGCATTTCTGTGTGCTGCTCTGGTTCGCCAGAAGTGGCTTTGTCATTCTGGCCTCATGACCTGGAAGCTGTCTGCAGACAAACCCTGGCTCACTCGGCCAGTAAAGCGAGAGGAGCGCCACAACCCCAGAGTCGTCCGTGACTGGACCTAACAGTCAGGGGTCCCTTTACTTTTTCCACAGAATTCTGGACGGTACAAGCAATGTGCTGGCAAGTCAAAGCGCTCCGAATGTGGATGTACAGAAAATATGAAGCTGTCCTTTTCTGTTGCCTTTTCTGATTGCAAGGAGAAGGTAAGGGCTATGCCTACATGTGCAGCTTTTTGTTTGTTATTCGGAGGAGATATGTAGTATAGTCATACCTCGGGTTGAATGTGCTTCAGGTTGAGCGCTTTCGGGTTGCACTCCACTGCAACCCGGAAGTGACGGAGTGTGTTACTTCCGGGTTTTGCCGCTCGCGCATGCACAGACACTCATAATGACGTCACACGCATGCGCGGAAGTGGCAAAACGCGACCCGCACATGCGCAGCTGCGCCGTTGCATCTTACGTTCTATTCAGGATGCGAACGGGGCTCCAGAATGGATGCCGTTCGCATCTGGAGGTACCACTGTATCCTGGAACCATTACATCCAGTATGTAAAGTACCGGGTATATCAAAATAACAGTACGTTAAGAAACCTAAGAAGGCAAAAATACCCTTAGCTACTGCTGAGAAGATGACAATGTTGCGACAGGCAAATATCTTTGGAGAGGGAATTCCGCAAATGGGGCATCATAACCAATAAATCTTTTCTCTGGCTGCCTTCTGCCACACCTCAGATGGTGGGGACACCTGAAAGAGAATTTCTAAAGACTCCCATGGTTCTTCAAGGTGCTTGGGTCCCAAGCTGTATAGGGCTTTAAAGGCGAACTTAGAAATGGACTGGTAGCTAGTGAAGCCTTTTGAGCCACTCACAGTTACTAACTTAGCAGCTGTATTCTGCAGTAACTGCAATTTCTGAGCAGTCTCCAAAGGTAGCCCCAGATGCAACCCAATACAGTAGTCAATCCTTGTTTCCAGATAACTGTGGCCAGGCTATCGCTTTCCAGAAGAAGCTGCAGCTGGCACACCAGCCTAAATTAATGTGAAAGACATTCCTTCCCACAAAGGCTTATCTGGTTCTCCATTGACAAAGCTATATTTAGGAGTGTGCTCAATCTAAGAATTTGATCCTATAGAGCAGTGTTTCCCAGCCTTTTCCCAACCATGGCCCTCTTCTGACCTTGTGTTCTTCCTGTGGCCCACCCCACATGGACGTAGCCAAGAGGGGGGCATTGGGGCAGCTGTCTTCCCATAAGTAAAAATCAATTAAAATCCATGCAGAGCCGGTGCAACGCTGCCGACGGGCCCTACGCTCATCGGCAACATCTGATGGCCCTGATCCACTAAGCGCTGAGGTGGAATGCACCCTGCACCTTGCAGAGTCAGGCCAGGCTGCCACCGAACCCAGCACTGGCAGCAACAACAAGCAACTCTGGCTCACCCAGCCCTACCCATTGCCACCCCACCACCGCACTTAGCTGACCTGGGAGTTCTGGACTGCGGGCTCTACTGGTCAAAACGGGAGCCTCAGCGATTGCCCTCTCTTTCTGGAAACAAACCAGGACTGCTCCAAGAAAACACACGTGGCAAAAAGGAACGTTAGGCCCTGCTGGGCTGCCTCCTTACCAGCTTGTGAAACGCTACTTTAGAAGGAGTGCAACCTTATGCATAACAGATTTAACAGATGTGCCACCTACCCACAGAATCTCAGACCTTCTGGGACTGATTTTCAGTCCATTGGATTTCATTCAGCTCATTACCAATTTGTAGGTCCAGCATCAGACTTCCTATTTAGCAGAACTAAACCAGATTATGTAAATACTTACATTTGTGTCATTCCATGTCTTTCCATGCAGGCATCATTTTAATGTCAGTGATTTCTATATATGTTTCATTGCCAGGCCCTGCGAATGAAATTCCCAGTATCAAGGCTTCCTCTCTATTTCACCATTGAGGATGAGGGTCGTTATGTAAATCTGACATCTCCTTATTTTATCACAATCATAGAAGTCAACAACAGAACCAACTGGAAAGTTTCAGGTAAGGAGCAGAAGAATCTTGGGATTCATCATTGTCTTTCAAATCAGAGAGGTTCTGTTGGAAATACTTGTCGTCAATGTATTTTCAGGCTCTCTTTCTTGCCCTATAGTAGGTGTGAGGAACCTTTGGTCCCCTGTATGTTGCTGAATTCCCATCATCCCTATCCATTGGCCATGCCTGCCGGGGCTGTTGCAAGTTCTAGTTCAGGGAAGACTTGATGTGGAAAGATTTGAATCTAGTCCTATTCTTTCTGCATGCAAAACCTATTACACCCACAGACCCTTAAGGCCTGAAACAAGCATAACACAACCCATTGGTTTACCATGGGTACACCCTCCCCCCTAGCTGTTCTTCCTCCTCTAGTTCTCCTGCTAGCTTTTACCATGACTAATAGTTATGGTGGCACTTCGGCTATAACAAAGAGGAGTTCAGGTTAACCAACATTTCATATGAATGTTTGCCCACACCCCTCCTTTTTCACCCACTCATGATAATTAATCACTGTTAGTGCTTTTTTCTGGGGGGATTCAGGGGTACGCATAACCCTAAACATTTTGTGAATCTAAGTTTGGCCTCATTGAGGGGCAGTATTTCAATATGAGTAGAAAAATGAGAGTACCCCTAAACTTTTTTTAGAAAAAAAGCACTGCTGTTTGTTAACCTCTGGAAAGCTGCTGTAGAAGACCCTGTGCAGCTCTAATACATCATGGTGTACCTCTGATACCTTTCTTACTTTTACATTTCATGAGACATAGATCTGGCTATTCATCTGTATTCAGGCCCTACTGAAATGTAAAGAAGAAGGAAGAAACTCAAACCTTCCACTCTGTGACTGTTTTAACTGTTTTTTCAGGTACCAATCAAACATCAAGTATGTTAAAAATGAAAAAATATTTGGAGCACAGACTCAAAACTGAACTATATAATCCAGATGGCCTATCTATAACGATAACTGTAAGTGCCAGAGAAAATACATACAGTGCTACCTCAGGTTACAAACACCTTGGGTTACAAACACTTTGGGTTACAGACTCCACTAACCTGGAAGTAGTACCTCGGGTTAAGAATTTTACCTGAGGATGAGAACAGAAATTGCACGCTGGTGGCGCAGCGGCAGTGGGAGGCCCCATTAGCTAAAGTGGTACCTCAGGTTGAGAACGGTTTCAGGTTAAGAACAGACCTCCGGAATGAATTAAGTTCGTAACCAGAGGTACCACTGTACTTTGAACGAAAAGACCAAACCTTAAACCCAAACTCTTCTTACCTTAAAATCTTTGTACCAGGGTGGTCCAACTTTTCAAACAAAGTGGGTCACAAGAGTACTCAAAACCTTTCAAGGTGCCCCAGTTTTCCTGCATCATCCCAGAATTTGAAGAAGCCATCCCAGCTTCTGATTTGATCCTAGAATGTCCCATTCACCCCCTCCAGTGCCACTGCTGACCCTGGGCAGGAGGATGCTGCACTTTCACACAAGTCAGCATGGCACCAAAAGACATATGTCCTGATTTTCATCAGAGGAATGTTGGTGCCATGCTGACTTGTCGGTGACACGGAACCTGCGGGTCACACAAAGCCTTGTCATGTGGGCAGGTGGTGTGGTGTTGTGGAACAAGGCCTAAAATTGATGCACGCCCCACCCCCCTGTGCTGCCTTCCCAAAGCTGGGTAATAAAGGCATCAGGCCTTGGGAAGGAGACAGGAGGGCTCTAGGATCCTGTCAGCCCTCACAGCTCCTTCCCAGCACTTACCCAACTTAGAGAAGGCAGCACGAGGGTTGGGGAGGGGGCATCAGGTGTTGCTGAGGGGTGGGGGGGAAAACCTTGAGGTCCACATGCAGCCCTTGGACCACATGTTGGGCCACTGTGCAATATACATTTGACATTGTGGTGCTGTGGTCTAGTTATCTCCCGCTTGGACTACTGCAATGCGCTCTACATGGGGCTACCTTTGAAGGTGACCCGGAAACTACAACTAATCCAAAATGCGGCCGCTAGACTGGTGACTGGGGGCAGCCACCAAGACCACATAACACCTGTCTTGAAAGACCTACATTGGCTCCCAGTACGTTTCCGAGCACAATTCAAAGTGATGGTGTTGACCTTTAAAGCCCTAAACAGCCTCAGCCCAGTATACCTGAAGGAGCATCTCCACCCCCATCGTTCTGCCCGGAAACTGAGATCCAGCGCCGAGGGCCTTCTGGCGGTTCCCTCATTGCGAGAAGCAAAGCTACAGGGAACCAGGCAGGGGGCCTTCTTGGTAGTGGCACCCGCCCTGTGGAACGCCCTCCCATTAGATGTCAAAGCGATAAACAACTACCCGACATTCAGAAGACATCTTAAGGCAGCCCTGTTCAGGGAAGTTTTTAATGTGTGATTTTACGGTATTTTTGGTTTCTGTGGAAGCCGCCCAGAGTGGCTGGGGAAACCCAGCCAGATGGTCGGGGTACAAATAAATAAATAAATATAATAATAATAATAATAATAATAATAATAATAATAATAATAATAATAATAATAATAATTACTGTGGTCTAAACCACTGAGCTTAAGGTCAGCGGTTTGAATCCCCGCAACGGGGTTCGGTACCTGCTCCTGCCAACCTAGCAGTTCGAAAGCACATCAAAGTGCAAGTAGATAAATAGGTACTGCTCTGGCAGGAAGGTAAACGGCATTTCCGTGCGCTGCTCTGGTTTGCCAGAAGTGGCTTAGTCATGCTGGCCATATGACCCGGAAGCTGTCTGTGGACAAACGCCGGCTCCCTCGGCCTATAGAGCGAGATGAACGCCACAACCCCAGAGTCGTCTGCGACTGGACCTAATGGTCAGGGGTACCTTTACCTTTTTAATTTGCATATTAATTCAAAATCTCAGAAATTTTCTGTTCTAAGGATATAACACAGTTGCTAGCAACACTGATTTTTAGGCTGTAGTTATACAAACAATTGAATGCATGTAAGGTGCTTTTCTCAATAAGCAGCTCCTGTCTGTTCTACGTGGTACTGCACATTATTTCTGTGAAACATTTCAAGTGAACATGAACACTTTATATTTCGGTTATAGCTTATGACATTTAAGAGAATCGATTTTTTAAAAAATGGAGCAGCAATATTGAGGCAATATTGCACCATGTGCCACATTGCAGTTCAGCCAGCCATATCTATATTTCTGTTCAGGTCATACAAAACACTTATTTTCTTTCAGCAACCAGATCACATTAATAGCCAAGGATTACAGTTTTAATTGAAAAAATGAAAACAAATGTTGCTGCATATTAGTAACAACTTCCCCCCCCCCTTTCCAACAGGGATCTGAGCTTTTCCATTTCAGGGTATCAACTATTCCTGGAGTCTCCTTTTGTAACTTATTTGACGAATTTCAGGTATTGTCACTAGCTCTTTTTTAAAAACAACAACAAACAAATTACACACAGAATGAATTAACAAACATAAAATAGGATACAAGATTGTACAAAATGTTCCCACATATTTAGCCCTTACTTCAGCACATTCCCAGAGAACAGCAGGAATTAGCGGGTGCAAGGGGGACTGGACTGGAGAAGGACACTTTAGGGAAACGCACAGAAGTGGAAGCTAAAGCAGACTGGAGCGCATATATATATATCCTCATACAGGGTGTGTTTTTTAAAAGAGGCCCCGTGGAACATGTGTACTCTGTATCCACAGGGCCTCTTCTAAAGGACTCACCCTGTATATATGAATGACTTTCTGGATGCCAAGGCCCAGGTCTGAGGCAAGTACTCTTTAGTGAGAGAAGCCCAGCAGATATTTAAATAGCACAACTGTGACTTCAGTCATTGACTAAAAACACTGCAAGGCAGGAGTAGCCTCTTATCTCACAAAGGCTTTGAATGGTGCCTGAAGATTTTGCTTTGTCACTTCTGTTGTACAAGCTCTAGAAACTGTGTAGCGTTTTTTTAATTAAAGTTCAGAGTTTGGGCCATGTGCTGGCTCTGGCACAGCAATATGCCCCCTGCCCTCTTGGCAGGCCTGCCAGTGCCAAACATATGACCATGGAAAGGCTGCCATCTCAAACAAGAGCTGATAGAGTCACTTGGATAATCTGGGCCAGGTTAACTTTCTGCTCCAGCCTTTCCAATTTAATGCCTTCCAGGTGATTTGGGACTGCAAAGGGCTAATGGGGATGGGAGTCCCAAATGTCTGGGAACAGTGGCGTAGCGTGGGTTGTCAGCACCCGGGGCAAGGCAAATAATTTGCGCCCCCTAACCCGTGGATTTGCGCCCCCTAACCTGTGGATTTGCCCTAACCCCAGATGTTGCGCCCAGTGCTGCCGGGCCCCCCTGCACCCCCCCACGCTACGCCACTGTCTGGGAAGGCTAGTCTGCTCTGGCTGGCAGCACCTCTCCAATATTTCAGGGAGAGTTCCTTCCTAGCCATGCTACCCCAAATCTTTCTGAAGTAGAAATAGTAGTAGTAACTGAACCTTTGGCCTTTTGTAAGCAAAACGTGCTTTACCACTGAACTGTGAGCCTTCCCTCATAGAACTGATAGTCTGAGAATACAAGGAAAAACCTATGCTTAACAAAGAGAGCCATACTTTCTTAGCCCATACTTTTCTGGGTATTTTATTTTACGAGGTACAATATAATACAGTATCTTGCAACAAACCACATGCAATGCTTACCAAATTGCTTTCCCTATAAACTCAGATGACTGCTTCTCTTCCCCCACCACTTAGGATTTGCATATGCCAGCTTTCGCTATCACTTAGACCAGTTTCACTATCTTGTTGTCAACATGGAGAACAATAGTCAATTTAAAGGGAAGTGACTGTTGGAATTACAATATTTTCTGTTGCAGATTTATATTGACGATTCTCCACTGGCATTCCCAGGAAACTCTCTTATCACTTCAATGACGACTATTTTAATGGGAGGCATTATTTTTGTGGCATATATTCTGTATGTATTTGAAATTGAGATATGGAACTTCTTAAAAAGGAAACTAAGAAGAAATAAAGTGGCATCAAAACCCCCACCCAAGAGAGATTCAGTAAATTCTGGTGATTCTGCAGGAAGTTGACTGGCAATAGTAATAACGTTATAATAATGTGTTGGTTTTTAAGACCCCCTATTGCTTTTATCAGTAACTATGTACCACAAATGTTAATGGTATTTTTTTGGAATGAACATATGTACAACTATTTCATCTTTAGCTGTAGTCTTTCTGTTTAGGAAAAATATTTTTGAAAAGATGTGATGAATTTTCACTTGTTGTTCCTTAGGATGAAACGCATTTAGTAGCTGCTTGTCATGAATTTTACTGAAGTTTATTGGGCAAGATTCCCCCCCCCCCCGAAAATGTCACTGAAGCAGCATACAATAAAATAGTTCTCATATTTAAAATACACTGCATTGCTAAATGTGTCTACTTACGCCTCTGTTTATTTTAATGTACAGGTTATTTCTGGAACTCTCTAGCTTTCTCCATAATCCAGCGCATGTTTGCAATTTGGTCTCTGGTTCCTCTGCCCCTTTGAAATCCAGCTTGCACTTCTGGGAGTTCTCGGTCCACATACTGCTTAAGCCTGTCTTGTAGAATTTTAAGCATAACCTTGCTAATGTGTGAAATGAGTGCAATTGTGTGCTAGTTGGAGCATTCTTTGGCACTGCCCTTCTTTGGGATTAGGATGTAGACTCATCTTCTCCAATCCTCTGGCCACTGCTGAGTTTTCCAGCATATTGAGTGTAGCACCTTAACAGCATCATCTTTAAAATTTTTAAGTAGTTCAGCTGGAATATCATCACTTCCACTGGCCTTGTTATTAGCAGTCCTTTCTAAGGCCCATTTGACTTCACTCTCCAGGATGTCTGGCTCAAGGTCAGCAACCAGACTGCCTGGGGTGTATGAGACATCCATATCTTTCTGGTATAATTCTTCTGTGTATTCTTGCCACCTCTTCTTGATGTCTTGTGCTTCTGTTAGGTCCTTATCACTTTTGTCCTTTATTATGGTAATCTTTGTACAAAATGTTCCTTTCATATCTCCAATTTTCTTGAACAGATCTCTGGTTTTTACCATTCTATTGATTTCCTCTATTTCTTTGCATTGCTCGTTTAAGAAGGCCCTCTTGTCTCTCCTTGCTATTTTTCAGAAATCTGCATTCAATTTCCTGTATCCTTCACTATCTCCCTCGCATTTTGCTTGCCTTCTCTCCCCCGCTATTTGTAAGGCCTCGTTGGGCAGCCACTTTGCTTCCTTGCATTTCCTTTTCATTGGGATGGTTTTCATTGCTGCCTCCTGTATAATGTTGCGAGCCTCCATCCATAGTTCTTCAGGCACTCTGTCCACTAAATCTAAATCCTTAAACCTGTTCCACAGTTCCACTGTGTATTCATAAGGGATTTGATTTAGATTGTATCTTACTGGCCCCGTGGTTTTTCCTACTTTCTTCAGTTTAAGCTTGAATTTTGCTATAAGAAGCTGATGATCTGAGCCACAGTCAGCTCCAGGTCTTCTTTTTGCTGACTGTATAGAGCTTCTCCATCTTTGGCTGCAGAGAATATAATCAATCTGATTTCGATGCTGCCCATCTGGTGATGTCCATGTGATGTCTCTTGTGTTGTTGGAAAAGAGTGTTTGTGATGACCAGCTTGTTCTCTTGACAGAACTCTATTAGCCTTTGCCCTGCTTCGTTTTGAACTCCAAGGCCAAACTTGCCAGTTGTTCCTTTTATCTCTTGACTCCCTACTTTAGCATTCCAATCCCCTATAATGAGAAGAACATCCTTCTTTGGTGTCATTTCTAGAAAGTGTTGTAAGTCTTCATAGAATTGGTCAATTTCAGTTTCTTCAGCACCGGTAGTTGGTGCATAAACTTGGATTACTGTGATGTTAAAAGGTCTGCCTTCGATTCATATCAATATCATTTTATCATTTTTGAGATTGCATCCCAGTACAGCTTTCACCACTCTTTTGTTGACTATGAGGGCCACTCCATTTCTTTTATGGGATTCTTGCCCGCAGTAGTAGATATGATGGTCATCCGAACTGAATTCACCCATTCCCGTCCATTTTAGTTCCCTGATGCTCAGGATGTCAATATTCTTGCCATCTCATTTTTGACCACATCCAGCTTACCAAGGTTCATGGTTCTTACATTCCAGGTTCCTATGCAATATTTTTCATTACAGCATTGGACTTTCCTTTCACTTCCAGGCATATCCGCAACTGAGTGACCAGCCGCTTCATCAGCTCTCAATCTCCGTGTACTTGTCCTCTGCTCTTCCTCAGTAACTTGTTGGATGCCTTCCGACCTGAGGGACTCATCTTCCTTCTACTTCTACTTATGCTTCATTGACTATGCAAAAGCCTTTGACTGTGTCAACCATAGCAAACTATGGCAAGTTCTTAAAGAAATGGGAGTGCCTGATCACCTCATCTGTCTCCTGAGAAATCTCTATGTGGGACAAGAAGCTACAGTTAGAACTGGATATGGAACAACTGATTGGTTCAAAATTGGGAAAGGAGTACGGCAAGGCTGTATATTGTCTCCCTGCTTATTTAACTTATATGCAGAATTCATCATGTGAAAGGCTGGGCTGGATGAATCCCAAGACGGAATTAAGATTGCCAGAAGAAATATCAACAACCTCAGATATGCTGATGACACAACCTTGATGGCAGAAAGTGGGGAGGAATTAAAGAACCTTTTACTGAGGGTGAAAGAGGAGAGTGCAAAATATGGTCTGAAGCTCAACATCAAAAAACCCGAAGATCATGGCCACTGGGCCCATCACCTCCTGGCAAATAGAAGGGGAAGAAATGGAAGCAGTGAGAGATTTTACTTTCTTTCTTGGGCTCCATGATCACTGCAAATGGTGACAGCAGCCACGAAATTAAAAGACACCTGCTTCTTGGGAGAAAAGCAATGACAAACCTAGACAGCATCTTAAAAAGTAGAGACATCACCTTGCCAACAAAGGTCCGTATAGTAAAAGCTATGGTTTTCCCAGTAGTAATGTATGGAAGTGAGAGCTGGACCATAAAGAAGGCTGATCGCCAAAGAATTGATGCTTTTGAATTATGGTGCTGGAGGAGACTCTTGAGAGTCCCATGGACTGCAAGAAGATCAAACCTATCCATTCTAAAAGAAATCAGCCCTGAGTGCTCACTGGAAGGACAGATCATGAAGTTGAGGCTACAATACTTTGGCCACCTCATGAGAAGAGAGGACTCCCTGGAAAAGACCCTGATGTTGGGAAAGATGGAGGGCACAAGGAGAAGGGGACGACAGAGGACGAGATGGTTGGACAGTGTTCTCAAGGCTACCAGCATGAGTTTGACTAAGCTGTGGGAGGCAGTGGAAGACAGAGGTGCCTGGCATGCTCTGGTCCAGGGGGTCACGAAGAGTCGGACACGACTAAACGACTAAACAACAATATTTCTGCAGTACAATTTTATCCACTGGATCATGGTCATCAAAAGTTACAAATCCAAAGCCCCTCTTTTTACCAGATTGTCTGTCTGTAATTATTTCTTTTTTTTATATATAAATTTTTTTATTGATTTTCCAACATAAAATAAACACAATACAATTCACAATACACCAACAAACAAAAAACATATAAACACGTATAATTTCATAACCTCCTTTTCTTAAGCTTGTTTCGCCGGCTTCCCCATGCCTCCCTTTTCTGCATCCCTTTTTTAAAGTTTTCTCAGCAACCCCTCACTTCATTAACATATTTGTTCGTTTTCTTTGATTCTTATCTCTCTTACCCAGTCATTTACAGCTGTAATGCTATTTTTCCAATACCCTTGACATTTTAACACTCATTAATTTTATAACAATTCTTAAGATAATCTTTGTACTTCTTCCAGTCTTCTTCCACCGTCTCTTTTCCTTGGTCACGGATTCTGCCAGTCATCTCAGCCAGTCCCATATAGTCAATCACCTTCATCTGCCATTCTTCCAGTGTGGGTAGTTCTTGTGTCTTCCAATACTTTGCTAAGAGAATCCTTGCTGCTGTGGTAGCATACATAAAAAACATCCTATCCTTCCTTGACACCAATTGGCCGACCATGCCCAGGAGAAAGGCCTCTGGTTTCTTGTGAAAGGTACATTTAAGGACCTTCTTAATTTCATTATAAATCATTTCCCAGAAAGCCTTAATCCTCGGGCATGTCCACCAAAGGTGATAAAAGGTACCTTCAGTCTCATTACATTTCCAGCATTTATTATTGGGCAAATGATAGATTTTTGCAAGCTTGACTGGGGTCATGTACCACCTATAAATCATTTTCATAATATTCTCTCTTAAGGCATTACATGCCGTAAACTTTATACCGGTGGTCCATAACTGTTCCCAGTCAGCAAACATAATGTCATGACCAATATCTTGTGCCCACTTGATCATAGCTGATTTAACTGTTTCATCCTGTGTATTCCACTTCAACAGCAAGTTATACATTCTTGACAAATTCTTGGTATTGGGTTCTAACAATTCCGTTTCTAATTTTGATCTCTCCACCTGGAAGCCAATTTTCCTGTCCTGTTTAAATACCTCATTTATCTGAAGATAATGAAGCCAATCTCTTACTTTAAACTTCAAATTCTCATAGCTCTGTAATTTCACTTTTCCTCCTTCTTGTTCTAGAATTTCAAAGTATTTTGGCCATTTAGATTCCATATTAAGTTTTTTTACTTCCTTAGCCTCCATTGGTGACAACCACCTAGGGGTTTTATTTTCCAGCAAGTCTTTATATCGAGTCCAAACATTGTATAGTGCTTTCCTAACAATATGGTTTTTAAAACCTTTATGGGATTTTACCTTGTCATACCATATATATGCATGCCAACCAAACCTGTTATTGAAACCTTCCAAATCTAAAATGTCCGTGTTCTCAAGAAGTAGCCAATCTTTCAACCAGCAGAAGGCCGCTGATTCATAATATAGTTTTAAGTCCGGCAGGGCAAACCCCCCTCTGTCTGTAATTATTTCAATTGTGTCGATTTTTCCATATTCCAAGAAGTAGTCTCTAAGGTGATGTTCCTCAGTATCTTCTTTAATTCCACCAACTAACATTTTTTTCACAGTAACATGAACTCCAGGTTTTCCAGATTCCTCCCTGGCTACGGCTCTTTTCGGCTCAACTACTGTTCCATCAATGGAATGAGGTCTGGCAGCCAATTGCTGCATCAATTTTAGTCATGGAAGAGAATGTGACAAAACCAAATTCTTGTTTGCTTGCAGAGTCTCTCATAACCACACAATCCGTTTACTTTCCCCATGGCTCATAGCAGTTTCTCAAACTTTCTTCTGTTGTTTCGATGCTTAAGCCACCAATGAATAGTTAGCGGAACTGCTCTTTTCCCCTCCAGTCACTCCCCCGATCTCCGTGAGGCATTTTCGGCTGGTTGAGGAAGCAAAAAGAAGCAAGGGAGGAGGAGAAAGATTCTTTAAATATATATATCGCTGAGGTCTTTT